GAATATATTTCGTTGAAGAAAGAAAGAAAGTTATATTTTAAGTTGATCCTTATAGTGTGATTATCCTAACTCTTAGGCCTACTGAGGGTTCGATCTCTTTGTAACTACTCAGACATTTTCCATTTTAGGCTTATGAAAAATCTTGACAGCGATTAAGCTAAGCCTTTGCTATGTTAAAAGTGCCCCTTAAAATTTATTCCAATTTTCTGATTCGGTAGAGACTTTTATAATTGATGCGCTGCTATTTTCTCTAGCAGGAGAGGTCTATGAGTCATAAATTGCAGCTACCTCATCATCTTTGTATACTAATTGGTAAGATCAAAAAATAGCATCTCACTATTCGTCTTATTTATAAAAACATCCAACTTTTGGAGAATTATGCTTTTATATTATATTTTCAAATGGAAGGCATATGTCACGATTTCATTATGCTTAAGGTTTGAATAAATAAGCATGGTAACTAGGTTTTATTGCCGCTACCTGTTTCATTATTTTTCTGGACTTGACATATTAGTTCTGATGTTATTTTCGGCGTAACACCTTTCATCTTTTAGGAAATCGTCTTACTTACAATGCCAGCATAAATATATGTTTTATAAAATATTTAAATAGGGCCTTTGTCACGTGATTGAATTTGCAAAAAGAATGTTTTTGTGGAGACTTTTATTCTATATGAAAACGCATAATGAAGCTATTCGAAGGGCGACCTCACCAGAAGAAAACGGCTAATTTCAGTTGTATTGCAGCCGTTTGGCTCTAACACTACGTATAGATTCACACAGTCTACGAGAAATCTTCCTGTAATGAGGAAAGATGTCTCGTAGATTAACTCAATCTAAACGTCGTATTGAAGCCAAAAGGCTGCAGTACAACTGAATTCAGTCGTATTCTGGTGAGATTGACTTTCGAATATCTTCATCATGCACTTTTATACGAAATGATGGCCTACAAAAATGTTATCTCAAGATATTTATCAAAACCCGCCTTTTTGTATACACAATAAATAATTCATTTAAAAACCTAAATTCAAATTAACTCACGAATTCATCCTTAACAATCAATCTGACCGTTTATAAATTGTCATCATAATTTGGTTTTCCATTTTTGCTTTTAATTTTGCTCATATATTGAATTGGCTTTTCAAATCTTTGTTTTGACTCAAGCGTATGGAGGAAGAATTTCGGCTTGAAGAAGAACGTCACCATTACTTCTATTACGGTCAATCAGCACACGCTATATCTTCGGCCTCCTGCAATCAGGTCAATGATACTGTCAACCAGGGCTTAAGTGAACTAAGCGCTATGATACCTAAACCTAATCGACTGGTCCAGTCACTGACCAACAATGAACCGGGTACTTTGAACGATTCTGCTGGTCAGGTGTCTACTCTTCCTAGTCGGGGCCAAATGCACCGACAAGAGACAGAGAGAAGAGTGCAAAGGGCTGACATAACGAGGGCTGCTGGGGATAGTGCAGCTATTGTTAGCCGTGGGGACAGACGTAAAACATGTGGAATAGTCTCCGGTGGGAACTCTGTTTTGCCTTACAACTCAGTATCTTCTTCTTCATGCAGTTCTCTATCGTTGGGTCTGGACAGCACCGAAAAGACAAACGGCTTCGAGACCAGTGAATTCTCTAATACTCCAGTTTCTGAACCAAAAATGAGGATGACCAAAATCTCTTCCATCATAGAAGAGGACCGGATGTGTGGTACAGTGGGTGAGGCAACCGCCACCCTGACCAGACCGTCTTCTCAATTTATATCGAAGAGACAAGTAGCAGGTCCTGATCATGAGGCCCTTAATGGTAGGAAGAGCAGAGAAAATGTGGAGGAGGAAGATGATGAGAAAAAAGAAGTAGAAGATTCACATCGGCGATTGCCAGGTTACAAGCGTGTGGGAGTCCCAACTCCTTTGGTCCAGGCGGCCTCTCTGTACTCATTGAACAAAACGCAGCCTGTTGTCCGGTGAGTCTCTTCCTTATTCGAAAAGTATATATTTAAATTATTCATTCATAATCATGCTTAATTGGCATTATTTTGTGCACGGATTTCTTATATTTTCTAAGTGAAATCTCCAATGCACACAAAATCACTCGCGATGGCATTTAGTTATCTATTTTATTTCGAGTAACACTTATCTAACTCAAATAAATTAGGCTGTATTTCTGCTCTATTTTGATTTCGAACCTATTTATTGTTGGAGGATCTCCCCAATTGGCAAACAGGATGTTAGTTGTTCTTCCCATGTTAAATTAGAGGACCTTTTTGTGGTTAGTGAATCTCAACTGCAAATCTTTTCCAGAAGCGCCTTCTCTAAATCTTGTGCTACTAGTTAGCTTTGCGTAATATCAGTAGATCAGGTTGGCAATAAAAGGGCATTAAAGTGGCAGTTTGACTGAACGATATTAATGTGATTTATTTTTAATTGATTGAGCTATATTGTGTCAATGTCGAAATGACAGTCGGATTTCTTCACATTTTCATTTTAAAAATGAATCTTGCTCTCTTTTGTTCCTGTCCTGTCTAGTAGATACGGTACATCGTCAATTTGTCATATATTATATGAGCTAATCAATGCAGATGGGCGTTAGTCCATTTAAGTAAAAAAATGCCACTTGATAATCTATGCTCTTACCATTGAAATTGCTATATTTTGCTTATTTCGTGCATATTAAGCAGGACTAGCTAAGCAAGAACCCAATTTATGCAAGACTCTTGTCAAACTCAATTTCCAATGAAACCTTTACCACTTTGACAATGACAGAGAAGCCTGAACAAGATCAGAACATTGAATTCGATTTTGTTGTGAAGGATTGCAAAGCAACTAACGTCTCCGTTTTATCATCATGAATTAAATAATTTAATTTAAAATTTTCGTTGGCATTGCATTTCCATAGGGACTTACAGTTATGATGATTTAAAGGATTTTTTAAATTCTAGTTCTCCTATAAGAGCTAAATACGTGTGATCGGAAATAGAAATGCAATTAAATCTTCTTAAAAAATATTTTAATTCAACCCATAACAAGACTCATAATAAAAGATGTGCTCCATGCGTGCAAACACTAATTCCTTAATGAATTTCATACATATAGGTCTTCACAAATGCTTAGTGTGTGTTTCAGCACATTCTGGTTCAGCCATGCTGCACCATACAACCCTTATTGCGCAGCGATAACTCTGAAGGCTAAAACGATACATGTGATTAGCATAGTGGCATTCTCATTCCCTGCAGACATCGTTTATAGCCTAATGAAATGGGCTACTTGCCAAAGGAATTGTCTCATCCGCCTAGTAGCCTCCTCCTCATATCCAAAATTTTTGTTCCATCTTGCTTAGCAAAGAGTCACTAGCTTTCAAGAAGAAGATGAAACAGAATCGTTTTTAGATTGTCTAGGTCTCTTAGCACAGGTGCATCACTTTAAAATGATGACCCTTTTTTCAACATGTATTGATTATTTCATATACATGTCTCATACCCTCCAATGCAAGTTGCCAACACGGAAACTCTTTCGGGAGAGGTATTTTGAGCTTTATCATATATTGACATCCTTCCGCCTCAGTCTTTGTCTGGGAGCTTCCTTTCTGCTTAATCTCAAGCTATCAGCAAGTGAGTGTGGTTAGACGAGACGATTCTACTCAAGTGGCCAAGCTACCTTATTTTTTGTTTTTGCTTAACGCCCAACAAGTTATCACTTCTAAGAAGAAATTTTAAATCAGTATGGCCAGTTTTTCCTGAATTTATCTCTTAACGTTTTTTCAAGGTTGTTGCCTTGAAAGATTCTACAACTTTTGGCAACTCAGAAGCCTGCTATGGATCTCTCTCTTTAGCTGACCAGGACAGCAAGTCAATTAAGCTATAAGAAATTGGGCTTCTGCAGATATGAATATTTTTGGAGTCAAGCTTGCCAACCTATTATATTTCCTTTAAGGGCTATTCCTATTCTAAATTGCAAGATACATCCAGACTTTTCATAGTGCTTATTACTTTGATTGTGGTCGTGATGCCACTTAGCCTGTGGTAAAATATTAAAGATAGTAAAGCTTTCAGATAATCTTGCTTAAAAGGGATATTATGTATTAGTTTATGAGTATTGAGTCCTTTATTTCTCCCTAATGGAATCCATCAGTCGATTTTGAACCATATGAGATGTTCTTCAAACAAAGGGTACCAAAAGAGCCGAATAGAGTGGGAAATGCCAAATATTTTCGAGAGTCCTAGGCATCTCTATTCATTTTTCTGCATTCCGGTCCAAAACATAAATTTAGTCGATCAATTATTTAAATTTCATTTGTCTGGATCTTCTTTTGGGTTAAAAAGGTTTGAGAGAATCTTCAGAAATCGTCATGCAGTGTCATGATTTTGACACTAAATCCGTCTATTTTTATGCATTCCTTGGAGCATTCATATTCATGTGGCAATGTTTATATAAATTTTATATATAAGAGTTTTGATTAATTAAGGCTTATTTAATACTCGTGAATTCTTCTTATCTCTAGCCCCTCTGATTAAAACTTTTATGGAGTTATTTATAATAACTAAAGATTTTTTAAATAGCTTCGTTATTCCTTATATACGAGGTACCCATAAGGGGGCGGCTGATTCCCGTTGTACTGCTACCGTTTGGCTTTAATACGACTTTCAGGTTGACGCAGCCCACGAGGCATCCTCCCTCATTTGGGATGATAAAGTAATGAACTTTGGCCCATCATTTGATGGACACTATCAGAGCTGAAACCCATTCTGGTAAAAGTCTCACGTTACCAGTAGGTCAAGAAGACTATCCGGCTATTATATAGACTCAAGTAAGCAAATGCTAAATAATAGGCGTAGATATACATAGAATGATTTGGCTAATTATCTTTCATATTGGTGCTGAAACCTTTTATTGAGTATGTGTGTGTGTACGTTAACATAAATACGCATTACTGGTTCTAAATCAGAGTGATCAAGAATAGGTAAATGCCAGGCTCTGATCATTAAGGCTTAATGGTCCAAGAAAAAGCCCTGACTGAGTAAGTCCGTAAACAAGTATGGTTGAGATAATGGGATGTACCCTTAGAATTGGGTAAGACAAGCTATAAAACTACCTTTCAGTCTAGGGCATTTAATGTTTAACCACCCAAGAAAATGCATGGCTGGGGTTACGTAATCTTGTACGTCTGGTTCGGTTGATGAGCTTAACATATTTGAGGAGTGAAGTTAGAACCATCAATGAGCGCACAAGTTTAGTCGCCTTTCTTTGGATGGCGGCTCATCATCTCCTCTCTTCTTCAATCAATGGATCAAGTGTGAGTAGTTCTTACTTAATTTTAAGTGTATAAGTAGCATTTCAAAATTACAAGTAAATCTGTTATATGATAGGTATTCACCCTATTTCGTTTACAGTAATGAAAGATTGGCAGTCGAATTTTTCCACTTATCTGAGTAGAACTGATGCTTCCATTGGATTTCACATGGCCTTGCTTTCCCAAAAGTTGTTCTCATTTAAGTTAGGCTGCAGTTTTTACCTCGCCCAGGTCTTATCAACATCCCAGCGGGAGTTGAACCATGATATTCCAGAGCGTTATCTCGACACGTAAGCCACCACGCTACCACGCCACCATTGCTACGAGTGTCCTTGTGTCACAAAGCAGAACTGAATCTCAAGGAAGTCCAGGCATTTTCCCATATCACATTGTTTGATTGGATTGAAATGAAGCCAAGTTATATTTGCTATAACAACGGACTACATTACTTATTTTTCGTTTATAAGTAGGGTTTCGAGACTATCAGTAAATCAGCTAAACGAAATAGAGGGGATACATCTGATATAGTTCTCACTTAACTTTCTACCACCGTTCCTAGCATTCAACTTATTTCCTATTCTATTAATTAATTTAGCCTCTCTTATCTACCGTTTATGAGCTAGTCTATTTTTGATTAAATAGTCTCCGTCTGAAAATTTATTTCTCGGTAATGAGATATTATTCTCAATTAGGCTTAAAGGGCAATTATTGTCCAGGAATAGATCTGTTAGCCATTCCAACTCCTTATTAAAGTGGTTGCTATCCGCTAATCGTATACCCCTAATCATCTTCGACTTCTAAATTCCAACCTTAGCTTTGTACTTATGGCTGGAAAGAAAATAAATAAAAGAGCCAAAATATGCTGGCTTCCTATAAGCAGCTCTTCTTAACTCACCCTCTTCTCTATTAATAATGACATCCAAAAAGAGTAAGGACCTATTATATTCTATTTATATTGTGAACCTAGTGTTCCTTTCATGTTGGTTAAGTGGAACTAGGAAACTATCTTAATTTTCTTTACCATGAGGCCAGATGACAAAATATAAAACCATATATCTAACCTACAATGTAGGGGTTAGTATTGCCTCTTCTAGGAAGTGTTTATTAAGTCTTGCCAGATAATTGTTCGCCAAGATGGGAGCTCAGAAAGATCCCATCGCAAGTACTTGTGTTTGCTGATATAACTCATCATCAAAGGCAAAATAGGTGCTACTCATAGAAAGGTTAAGAAGTTTATATATGGGCGTTATCCTCAACCTTATTCCTTGTGTGATCTCTTGATACTCTTCCAGAGTTTGTACTAGAGTCTGAATAGCTCCTTAGACAGAAATGACTGTTTACATATACACAACATTAAAACATATTAGTCTATCTTGTTTTGAACTTATTTGCTGATCAAATACTTTTACATATTCTTAAGAATTTTTAACTAAATGTAGCCAATAATCGGCAGTTTTCTTTAGTTGTATGCATAAAATACATAAGATTTTATGCATCACACTTCTTTATTATTTACAATTAATCTAAGAGGAGCATCCTTCTTGTAAACTATTAGAGACCATAAGCCGTGA